CTATTAAAACCAAAGACCCATTTATGAATTAGCATCATGCTCTAATTCCTATTTCCGGCTACTCCCTTGACCAAGTGCTAATCCCATAGATTAGGGATGTACAAACTGTTCTTATGTACAAAACAATTTTGAGTACTTCATACCCAAACTAAAGTAAGCTTCTTCTGGTTGTACTGGTATGCAAACAGAATGAATTGGGGTTATTCTGCACTATGGACAAAGTAGAGCGGGGCTGTTCTAGTCAGGGCAAAGTGGGGGGGCAGCAAGGAAAAAGACAATAACATTAATGGCTTAGGAGGCAAAGCATTAGGAAGATGCTGGAATACTGGCAGCAGCTGAAAGGAGGAAGAAAAAGCTATGGAAATGTTGAGGAAAGACAGGCAAGATTTGCCATGATTCATCCTGACTGGATTTTGTTTTATCCAAAACCTGGTACTGTACAACTAATGGGGTTTCAGTTCTGCCCAAATGTGGCTGACCAACAAAAGTTTGGCAGAAATCCCAGATTGCAATGGCTTCTTCTTGTTCTTGAAAGGAAACATTTTTTATTTTATGCATACCCCTACCACAGACAGGTCCACTAAGAGTTTAGCATGCTTGTGAAGCATGGACATGCCAAACAAATGACAGAGAGTTTTAGTTAGTTAGCTACATCATCTCTCATCACAGGACCCTGTGCATTGGTGAGTCAGAATTTGTCATTATTGTGCCACGCAGAGCCAGCAACCCAGACCAGTGAGCCAGGTTGAGACACCAATGCTATGCTATGGTGTGCTATTGGCTCCTTCTCTTCTACTTATAACAGTCAGCAGGACTTTAAGGCAATATGGAGAAATAATCTAGAAAGAGTAACATCACAGCAATGAACGAAAGGTAAGACGGAATGGAAGGCAGTGATGTCAGGGAAACAGAGCAGCAAAATTTATGTTCTGAAAGATACATAATGCCACCTGAACTAGAAAAAAAAAATTAATATGCAATGCAGATGTATATGCAAATTATAAGATCAAGCTCTGCCTATAAGCTCATTACACCAAAGCACAATTAATTAAGCTTTATTCTGGGAAAAACAATTCTCCAAACTAATTGAGCTAAAGATAACTGGATGGCAGAATATTCACAAATCACATTTATTTTTAATAGTTTTTAAGGATGTGCATAGAACAATCAACTTTGGATGATCCATGTTCAAGTTTGTTTGATTGTTTTGGTCTAAGCATGTAACAAAATGGCACTGTTTGGATCCAGGGACAGACCACAGATAAGTGTTTTAGACAAAAGTGATGGGAGAATAGAAAAAAACAAACAAACAAGGATATAAGTGGTGATGGCTGAGGTAAATCAGGAGAGGGAAAAATGCTGGGAAGATAAAGGAGGGAGAGAATATGCCACTCTAGGAGCCTGTTCCTTTCTGTTAAAATCTTCACAATAAATCTTAGTAGTCGATCAGCATACCTGGTGATGGCTGAGGGGAGGGAAGATGCTGGAAAAATCAAGAGTACAATGCTAAATGGTTTCTGCTGCACTGGGACATCACCAGTGGCAGAGCTTGAGGGAAGGGAAGGAAAATGGGGAGCAAGGAATGATGGAGCTAGCTGGCCAATAGGATAGGATATACTACACTATGAGCTGCTGAGGGTAGGAGGGGAAAAGGGCATAAAGTGCACCAGCCTTGTCCTACTCACTCCATAAAACCACTCTGGTATCCCCCAGATGTTGGTTTGTTTGGAACTAGAACAACCCAAACATTCCAGATTTTGTTTTTCCTGAACCTTGTCTAATACAAAAGCATATGGAAGAACCTACAGTTAGGGTCAAATAGTTTTGAATTTAGGAATGCGATGTTTTATAAAGCAACTATAGAAGTTATTTTGATAAAATTGTAGCACATGATCCAATGAACCTACAGTCAATCTTTCTGTATTAAATAACTGAATATTCACTAAGAATGCAAAATCTACTTTAGTAAATTATATTGTATTCAATGCAAACACTTCTTGTGAATTTTAAACCTATCTGTAATATAACGTAGAATCATTTGGGTGGTGACAGCCAGTTTGGTGTAGCGGTTACGGCATCAGTCTAGAAATCAGGAGACAGTGATTTCTAGCCCCTCTTTAGGCACAAAGCCAGCTGGGTAATTTTGGGCCAGTCACTCTCTCTCAGCCCTAGGAAGCAGGCAATGGCAAACCACTTCTGAAATCTTGCCTAGAAAACTGCAGGGATTCATCCAGGCAGTCCCAGGAGTTAACACCAACTTGAAGGCAGATACAAACATGTGGAGGTAAATCCCACAGAAGTCTAAAAGACTGATCAACTCTACTGTGTCTTAAATTATATTTTAAGATGGGAAAATAACTGTTGGGGCCCTAATTTCAATCTCTCCTTACAACTACCCAAAATCAATATGCATTAGAACATGAGATTGCTTGTCTAGTGAGATGAATGCTATAATGCTAGTGCACATTCTGGAGTACATGGAGATTTGTGGTCATATTTTGAAAAATAAAAATAGCCCATCTGTAGAAGGCAGAAATACTCTTTCAAAAAAACTTCTTCTTAAAGATGACACTCCCTGGTTTTGGACCAGCATGCTAACAAAGAACGGAAGTGAGAATGCTTTTTTTTTTTTTTTGCTGATAGTTGTACAAAAGGCATCAATCCAAACAGTACTGTAGGGATAAGCAGACAGCTCAATTTATACTTTTTAAATACCTGTTTAAATTCCCACCCTATATCTTCACTTTAAAATCTACAAAGAAAACAAGTAGTTCTTATAGCAACAAGGACAACCACGAACATGTTTGCAAATGATCTTGAGGATGGCTATTTTTAAAAGGTTACCATCCACGTGTTAAATTTTCACTTCATAAAGTCAGTTGTGTCCCTAAAAACATTTGTTACATCATGGCATAAACTAATGATCACTTGTAGCCAAACCACTTACAAACATTTACCTTCATAACTATATGCACACAAATTGCTAACTGGATTGCAAACTAACCAAACACCCCTTTAAATGCATTCTCCATTACCTGCATTACAACTAGGCCATTTTTCACAACTTGCTTACAGGACAGCAACTGTGAAAGGAATTATCTTTAGTTCCAGAGAACTAAACAATCAGTTAATTTTTGTACCAAAACTAATCTTTTCCAACCAAATACATTCCAGTTATGCTGTACGACATAAGGTTAATTCCTACCCTACTGGGAATTACATAGTTCAACTGCACCTCACCTAATAGCAATGAGGTAAGGATGAACAAAGTCAAACCTATTCTGTGGCAATGATCAATTTAGAAACTATCTACTGTTTATTTGTCTGTTAAATTTTCTTCCAAAAGCTCCATACAGTTTATAATGGAATCACAATTTCACTTCCACAACAGCAGCCTTGTCAGGTAAGTTGAGCTGGGAGACAATGATTGGTCCAAAGTCTCCCAGTGAGTTTCCATGGCCAGTCCAACACCTTAAGTGCTACACCAGGATGGCTTTCATTGCTGTTGCATTTTACACTGCTTTACCTTTTAATTTTATTGTGCAACTTTTAAGGTGTAAAAAAAAAAAGAGCAAGGGTGTGCAAACACACACAGGACCAGAGAACAGGAAGAGAAAGGAAAGCCACAATTAAAAGGTAAAGTACAAAGAGTGTGAAAAGGTGCAGAAAGGATAAAGACGACGGCTTTTAAAACGCACATACACAGCAATGCAACCTCTCAAACGCAACCAAACGGGCCGTTCACGTTTTAAGCCCTTGTTGAAGGGTTTCGACTTTTCCATGAAAACGAGCCAGCGCCACCAGAGCTGGAGAACAAAAAGAGTACACCCGTGGCAGCCCTCTAGAGCGTATCTATTCACACATGAAGGCGGCCCTGGCCCTGAAATCTGGAACAACAGCCAGCAAGGGAGTGGGTGGGAAAGTGGCAAGAGAAAGAGGCTGAGGAAGAGGAGGCATTGTGCAGTACGGAGCGCCTCCACACGAGGCCCCGAAACTGATCGATACTCTCCAGCTCATGGGCAGCCCAGGGAAAGAGCGGAACACGAATCACCTAATTTCCCGCCAGCTTCCTCAACCCATCCACCCCGGCGCCGCCGGCCGAACAAAGGACAGACACATCGCGGGACTCGTATCTTTGTTCCTCTCGCCCTTCCTGCTCGCGCTTCTCCAGCACATCTCGGCTGGGAGGGGAAGCCGTTTCGGCCTCCCGCGAACAAAGAAGCCCAACCCACCCTCCACCACGTCCTCTCCCCGGGCCGCTTTCCACCCGCCC